TGCAGAAATCGAAAACTAATACATGTTTTGGTACCTGGAAATGTCCTTTGTGTCATGCTTTCGCCAGTAACGCATTGCCTTGGTTACTACAGCTTTATGTGGTCATCATAAAAATGGCTAATGTGAGTCCTTCAACTTTGTTATTTCTTTTCAGAAGTTTTTGGCTATTCCAGTAATTTTGTCTTCTCATGTAAGTTTCAGAATCAGTTTCTGGATTCTTTTTTCACAAAAGAAACATACTGAGGTTTTTATTGGGATAGCATTAAGATCTTTAGATCACATTATGAAGAATTGACATTTTCACCATATTGAGTCTTCCAGTCCGTGAGCCAGATTGGAATTATCTGTATCTCTAATTACTTGTGTCTTCTTTGGTTTCTGTTATCAGTGTTTTCCAGTTTTCACGTAGAGACCATGCACATATTTTGTTAGATTTATACCCAAACATTTTATTTTTTGGTGCTGTTATGAAAAGTACAGATTTCTTAATTGAAAATTAAAATTGTTCATTGCTGGGATAGAGGGAAGCAATTAACTATCGTACATTGACCTTGTTTCTGAAAATTTGCTATATTTGCTTATAGTTCCAGGCATTGTTTTGTTTTGTTTTTCGTGTTTTCCATATCATGGCATCTACAAATAGAAATATTTTTATTTCTTTCTTTCCAAACTATTTATGTTTTTATTTCTTTTTCTTGCCATATTGAATGAGTTAGGGTTTACAGAACAGTGTTGAATAGAAGTAGTTTTATTTTTAATCCATAAACTCCAAATTAAACCAGCAACATTCTTGAAAAGTCCCTTCCTCCTGATTAGCAAATATTCCTTGTCCCCTTTTTTCACATATCAAGTGCTTACATATGAGTTGGTCTGTTTCTATGTTCTCTAGTCTATCCTATTTGGTGTATTTTCTATTCAAGCACCGACCCCACACATTAAGGATTATCATAGCTTTATAATAAACGTCAGTATCTAGTCTGGCAACTTCTGTACCTTGTTTTTCTCTGGGAGCGTCTTGACTCTCCTTACCACTTCTCTCCTCCACACCAATTTCAGAACCAGCTTTTCATATTTCACAAAAACACGTTTGGATTTCAACTGGGATTCCATGGACTCTATAAAACAATTTGGGCAGAATTGATATATTGACAATATGGAGTTTTTCATTCATGAAAATGTATATCTCTCCATTTGTTGGGTTTAAATTTCTTACCTTAAGGCTTTATTCGAGAGGCAAGGACCAGTAATACAGTGTTGGATAGCCGTGTATACAGCACGGAAGTGCTTCTTTTCCCTGTTCTCTGGAAAAGTGTGTGTGAGATTAGAATAATTGGTTTTGAACATGAAGTCATTTTTTGCTCATCTTCCAGGTTCCTTGCAGTTCTGAGGGTACATACGGCAGAGTCATTTTTAACCCTAGTTTTCTCTTACCCTTCCGGGATGGCTGGCCCTTATCATATGCCACATTTCCGAGGGGAAGATTCCTTTCAGCCTCAAGCCCCTGGTAGGCCTGCGTTTTGCCCTTTGTTTGCTAAATCAAGATTTTGAAAACTTAAAGTCAAATTCAATAAATGCCTTCAGGGCTAAATTTGCTTCCAGGCTCAGATTAATTATCTGGTTGCAGTCTTCGCTTAAATTTGGCTAGATTGTTTATTCCTGTTTTATCAGCTCAGCAATGTTTTTCAGAAAGTGACTTTTTATATTTCATCTGGCAGTTTGGGTTGTTTTTGGCAAGAGCCTCAGTCTGAACACCTGGCCAGCTCTGATACCAAAAGAGAAGTTAGATTTGCACTTAGATTTCCATAAACTCTGGGCAGTTTTTCCTTACTAGAAAAGGAGTTCGTTTTGGATAAAGAGGAATTTCAGTTCGCTTCAGTCCCTCTCACATGCCAGCCACCATGTTAGAATGTGGATGATACATTTATGAGTAAGACCTTCAGAAATTTCCATTCTAACAAATGTAACAAACATTAAGGACTAACAAGAAATTCTTGTATTTATATTGCTCTTTTAAGACTTTTTTTTTTTAGAGCAGTTTCGTGAAGGGTCAAGTTTGTTCTCGTTTCTTGTCCCTGCTGAAACAAAGAATTGAAAGGGAGAGACACAATAAGGAAGCAGAGTGAAAGCTTTATTTGAACTCACTCCAAGGGAGAAGTGGGCCAGAGTGAAGACAAAGACCACAGTCTTAAGGGAGGGTCTGTTTGTTGTGTCCTAGCTGGGAGGTCCCGCTTTGATTGCCAGGGTGAGGTCATTTGATTGACAGTTGGTTATACACCAGTTCCTCCCAGTGCATGTGTCTTTTCCCAGAATGCTCACAGAAAAGCCCAAGGGGTGGAGGGGGGGGGGAACAAAACCATTTTATTATAATAAGGTTATGGTGAGGGGTGGTTTGGACGGTTCTTAGTTTTGTTGGATTATGTCTGTGTTGTGATCAGGTTGGGACCTGTTTGGCCTGGTCCTGATGGACAAGGAAGTTAGCTCCCTGCAAAGGCTTTGTTGTCTTCATATGGGACCCCGACCTGGGCGGTTTTTTTCCTTGAACCTTATCTTCCCCTTCCCTAGCTGCTCATGTCTATCTTTCTACCTACCAGTTCTAGGTTTATAGTAAAATTGAAAGGAAGGTACCTTGTACAGAATATCCTTGCCAGCGTCTGCTGTTGTCAGTGTTCTGGATTTTGGCTTTCTAATAGGTGTGTAGTGGTATCTCATTGCTCTAGTTTGCATTTCCCTGATGACATACGATACGGAGCATCTTTTCATATTTTCTTTGCTATCTGTGTATCTTCTTTGGTGAGATATCTATTAAGGTCTTTCGCGCATTTTTTTAAAGGTTGTTTGTTTTCTTCCTGTTGAGCTTCAAGAGTTCTTTGTAATTTAATCAGATATATTTTTTGCAAATACTTTCTCCCAGGCTGTGGCTTCCTGAGTCTCTTGATTTTGCATTTCACAGAGCAGAAGTTTTTAATTTCAATGAAATCTACCTTACCAATTTATATTACATTTGTATTTAGACCTCATGTGTATTTCCATTTCTTCATTTCATTCTTCACAATTTATTTGCTGTAGGTGATTCCAGTGTTATACCCTACTCTTGGGTGCAAGAGTCAGACTCAGATCCTCATTTCTGATTCAAAGTGATTAGCCTGAATTTTGCTTTTACCACAGAAATAAACAGAGGGGTGCTTTATAACCAGAGAGTACAGGAAGATATGAGGAGAATATCCACAGCAACACTGTGCAGAACTGTCAGGAGTGTGATAGTGTTCAGACCAGTTTGAATCTTGGGTAATGAAGGGTTCGGAGGTGTGAATGTTTCAGGGTGAACTCCTCCCTGGTGAAATGTATTCTGAACACTGTCTTGTAGCAAGAAAGAGAGGTGTCAGACTGACTGTAATGTACCTCTCAAGCTCCAGAACTGCAGGGGAAGTCCACAGAGGTGGGATTTGGGGAAAAGCCAAAAAGCACCCCTTTGTAAAAAGGGTCTTTCTGTACTGTATAAACAAAGAATTTAAAATATAAGCTTGTGTGGAACTGAGCTGAGTCCCTACAGGTTGGTAAATTCCTACTGACAATTGGGAGAGGGCAAATTCCTTTAAAGTTTCTCAAATTTTCTGTCTTCAAAAGGGCCAGATTTTAGTTTCCTACCGCTAAAATAAACTAGTCTCTATTGACTTGCAATAATCAGTCTTTTATGAGTTTTGAAGGCAGTGGGATGTTTATCTTTCCATTTCCTTCAGTTTGTGATTGAACATATCCAAGTAATATAAATATTAGTCTATAATGATCTATCAACATATCATATATTTTTGGCAGCTGTTTATACAAAAAAATTTCAAAAACTGATTCCGAATTAGTTATATATTCTTATGGGGTATTTTCTAGCTTTGAGCAAATAAAAGCTTATATCTGTAAAGTTTAAAAGGATTTTCTTGTCTACCAACTTTATATTCAGCAAGGATTGGAAGCACAAACCCAAATGTATCCCTTTTATCAAGCTTGCTAAAGTCAATACTGTAGTATTTTTAAATGGGGACTCATTTTGAAATTCTTGCTTATATTTGAGGAAATAAAAATCTAAAATCAGGGTTCTGTTAACCAGAGATGTTAAGTGAGGTAAGTAAGCCAATTTGACGTCTGGAAACTTGAGGAACTAGTCATTCCTCCGTACTGAAGAAAGGAGTCGTGATCCTCAACCCAGCTTTGGGCTTCGGAACTTCCTGGGTGTAGGGAAATTGACCTCAGAATGGGTCAACTGACCTTCAGAATGGAGGTTCCAGTTCTGTAGATCTGAGAACTGAGCAGCTGAGAAGGGGTGAGGGAACATTTCCCTTTCTGTCCCTCCTGAAATGGCACATTGTTTTCCATAAGCAAATACGTAACTGTAAAGTGAGGCTGATGAAAGCCCGCTTCCGGAGTTTTTACTCTGTATGAGGCACATTGTCTACATTAGTTGTAACCTTTGCCACAAGCAGGAAAAATAGACACCATTATGACTCCCATTTTATAGATAAACAATCCGAGTCACATGTTGTCCAGAGTTACATAATCAGTAATGGTAAAACTAGAACCTGATATCATTTATTTCTGACTCCAAATGTTGAATAATTTCTACCACACTGTCAGCTTAATGTTTAATGCTGTGATCAAAGAAAATGTGCCTACGTCGACACGTATTTAAAGCTGCATATGAGTCACACAAGTAACCCTGCTTCGTATGGTTTTGCATGAACTGTATTTCCAGTGCTGCTTCTTTCTCTGATATCTGTGCATTCCAGTACTGAACATCTTATCTTCTTTTTGACAATAAATATTGAAAGTCTTAGGTCCTACTTGACGTCCTTTGTCTAAGTCCTTTGCTTCTTGCTCTCTTCTGAATAGGCACAGTTAGAAATAAATGCCTTAACATGCTAATGTTGAGAATCAAGTATTGGACTGAAACTTCTCACTGTAGTCATTTTATAAGCAGGTATAAATAACATGATTTGATCTTTGTTACACAGAAGGAGGAGAAATGCAAAAGTATTCAGGAGAAACAGAAGATAGAAAGGTGATGCAAACAATGTCAAGAGAAAATATAATGACTTCCCTTTTGGATCCCAATGCTCACACATGGCTGGATGGGATTTGGACATTTCTGGTGACATGAGTTTACTGCTTATTTGGAAATTCTCGCTGGTGTAATTTTAACTGATGTGGAGAGATTTCTGGACTAGCAATTCTAAACAGGCTTGATTAAACAAAAGAATGGACTTGATTAAGTGTGATAATGTATGTAACAATCCAACAGAGACCCAGTAAACAAATATTCCTAATTCTTTCTCTCCCTTCTTTATTTTTAAAGATTATTTTCTCTAGAAGCTCTGGTCTCACACAGAAAGCACTTTTTGGGATATTCGATAGAATTGTCTCCATACCCTGATTCTGCCTCCTCATAACTATACAATACAGTGGGAGACACTTAAATTCTCTCAGCCTCAGCTTACTCATCTGAAAAATGGGTTGTTATGAGGCTCTCACATGACACTATGTATTTAAGGAAAAATGCATACTAAAATGTCTCTGACTGCATTACAGTTATTCAGTGGTACACCTGTTAGTAGGGAAAAAGATTCCCAAAGAACCAATTTACATTGTCTCATTTATTTAGGTCTCTATGAGATTACAGGTAAGAGTCAGGATCCTGTGAGAGACCTGCAGCCAGCCAGGACTCCCCAGCTAAGCCCCTCTCAAATTCCTGACCCACAGACACTGTGAGAGAACAAACGCTTGTTACTTTAAGTTACTCTATTTTGAGGTAATTTTTTATACAGCAGTGTATAACTAATATGAATGTCTTAAAGGATGTGAGGAACATTTCTGAATGTAATTTACTACAGTTCATGTAAATGGTAAAGTTCTCAGTGAAAGAAAGAAAGGCCTAGATACCTGATAAAGGGATGAGGCATGAGGAATGGGATGACAATTCGAGAACATAAGCGAGACTATATTCAAGGATGTAGGTTAACCCCTCTTGCTTTTGTTTGTGTGTCTTATTTCAATAGCATTTCAAAGTAAGGGTGCTCTCGTGACTAATGGGAGTATCTTTTGACAGAAGATGCAGTTTATGCTGCATGAATGATATTTTTGATGGTCAAAAGGAAGAGCCAGAGCTCAGTAGTCAAAGGGCCAGCAAACCCACCTGCTGCCAAAATTGGGCTTATTAACTAGACTGCAGCAAAGGAGAGCAGACCCCACATGGAACCTTGGAGCAACCAGGAATGCAGATTTAAGAGGAAGTGTTTATTAGTATGGGTTTGTGCTTGATTTTCCCAAGGGAGATTATGGAATCCTGTGTTGGATTGCATCTCGTCAAGAAGGAGCAGTTTAGCAATTAGATTCTCAGTAATCTTCTTTCCCGAGAGATAACGCTGGCCTGGGGACAACACTGATAGGAAAGCAAAAAATCACTCAGAAAGACGCATAATTAGTCCTATTTCCAGCGGTGGTGTGTGGCCTCGTGTATAAATAGTGTTTATATGACCTTGTCCATGCCGCATTGGAAACACTCTTTCACCAGGACCTGATTTCCACTTTCTCAAAAGAATATTATGACACAACCATGAAGTGGAGAATTTTAAGAGCCAGCACAGGTCCACTGGGTTGGTGCATGTTTTTACGTGACTTTTGGTCGGTTAAGCAGGACAAGACCTTAGAAAGTGTCATTTTGTGGTGGGGGAGCCCAGAGTTTAGGAAAATGGTGATTAGCTCAGGATCACTCAGGCGGTTTGCGTCAGAGGGAGGATTAGAACCTAGATCTCAGACAGTTAGCCCAGGACCCTTCATGTGAGAGCAGTCCACCCTTGTACGCACAGTGACTAGAGCATGAGGGTCAGATGTGGAGTGTTTGCAGGTGACTTGTTACTGCTCAGAGTTAAAATACGGACATGGTGCTCTATCACTGTTTTCACATTGTAAAAATTTCAAATGTACCGTTGAAATAAAATTATCTCTTGACTTCTCTTCAGTCCCCTCTTACCTACCCTACCACCATATACGAGTTCATTCTTTGTGGATATAAATGTGCGTCTGTTACGTAACATAGTAGCACACATTGTTCTGCAGTTTACTTCCCCCACCCCCAATTACTGACACATCTTGGAGACTGTTCCGTATCAGTGTGCATAAAGTCTGGATAGCATTATTTTATTATTATACAGAGTGAAGATGTCCTTGATCATACTCTATATATTTTCCATACCTCCAGACTTTATGTACACTCTATAAATAGACCTGCATTTTTATCTCATATTAAAAAATGTAAATAGCTAACTAACCATTTAATTAAAACACTTGCAAGTATTTTCATTAAAGAATTATCTTGAGTAGTAAAGGTATTGAGATACATAATCAATGTGCTATGTTTTGCTCGTAGTAATTTGTAGACTATTTGTCTCATGGGTCATGGGAAATACAAGAAAAAAATAGTTTGAATACTGCTTGTTTTAGTCCGTTTGGGCTGCTAAAACAAAATACCACAAACTGGGTAGCTTATAAACAGCAGAAATTTATTTTTCACAGTTCTGAAGGCTGGGACGTCCAAGGTCAAGGGGCCAGCACATCTGGGTAGGACCTTCTTCCCAACTGCAGACTTCTGATTGTGTCCTCACATGGTGCAAGGGACCGGGGACCTCTGTGGGGTCTCTTCTGTAATGCACTAATCCCATTTCTAAGGGCTCCACCCTCATGGCCTAATTACCTCTCCAAAGCCCCACTCCTAATACCAGCCCATCAGGCATTAGGATCTCAACATGTGAATTAGAGGGAATACAGACATTCAGACCATAGAACAGCTGTATTTTATCTGTCTGTCTTGAAAGAACTTATCTCTGCATTTCCAATTCCTGATCCTCAAGGTGCAGCTCACAAAATCCTGCTGATTATAAAGAACTATGATGATAAAATATCAAGTAGCAGATTGAGAAAGACACACAATACATGATGTCCTAATCTTGACCTCCAAAGACTTAAATGCTCCAATATTGAACTCAGGACTAGTGAGGGATTTTCCATTTGTCTCTTGAGAGCTTGTTATGTCATCGCTATGCTGTATTTGGATGAAGCAGTTCCTTAACCTAATCCAACTTCCTGTGGAATTGGTTTACAGCCCTCTAGGCTTATTTTATCTTATTTACATTCTTTTTCTGAACCTGGAAACAAGAGTACAGCCAGCCTGCAGAACCAAGTCTCTACCTTTGGAATCCAGCCTTTATGTCATTTTTCTTTGTTCACTCACATGCATTTTGTTATTAACCCAAAATAGTTTGTCTTTCCGTACGTGTCTCTCTTTCTTATAAGATATGGGCTTCACAGAAAAAGATTCCTTATGCAGTATGTGGAATTAATTCCACCATGGGATTTTAATACTTTCTTCTTCATTTGCTCCCATATTTGGCTCTGCATTATGCTCATTATAAAGCAATCAAGCTTTCAAATGGATAAAATACAGAAGTAGATAGTGTAGCATTACTTCATTTAATTTAAGGTGTTTTAATGGCACATTAAACACATGCAATTCACAATGGCTATGATAGATGTTAAGTAAAAAAAGTGAAATAGGAATTTTTTTGGTAAATAAAACAAGTGAACTTATAATCACAGCTACTGTTAATTGTTTACTGTTCTATGAAATTATAACATGGGAACTGTCACTGGAAACCTCTGTTAAGAACAGTAAATTAAGAGTATTAAATTAGTTTTTCATGGTTACTGAGATTAAGATAAAAAGTCAAAAGCGCATACTGCTCACATAGCTTTTTAACTAAGATGTCTACAATTATTGTGTCATAAAATGGCATGTTACATGCTTTGTTCCATTTTCCCATGCCACTGTACATAAAAGAAGTTACCATCATATTTGCTTTCACTAGGCAAACTCTATTCTCTGTCCAGCATTTTTAAATAGCATCTTCTAGAGCAGCAAACAGGTCACTGAATGTTAGGTTACAAAGGCTGTGCATCCATTCAGAAGTTGTTTACCTTAACTGACCATCAATTGCTGATAAAATGACCAGTAAATAATTGGTCAGTACCAAACTATTTGACTGAGTTGACTGGTTTCTCCTGGAATTAAAATGCATTCATTACATCAAAATGATGGACTGATGGACTGTAGACTAACATAGGATTATTAGTTCACTGAATTTTAGAGATAGATAAGACCTTAGGTCAAAGTTTCTCCATCTCAGCACTCTTGATATTTGGGGCCAGATAGTTTTTTGTAGGGGGCTGTCCAGGGCGTTGGTAGGTGGGTTGGCAGCATCCCTGGCTTCTCCCACTAGAACCACCAGCCGCACTCCTCCTCACGTGTCACAACCCAGAACATCTCCAGATTTCTCCCGAAATGGCCTCCTTGTAAGATCCTCTGCTTAGAGAATATCTGGTCCAATACACCCGTTTGTCAAAGGACAAGAAAGCCAGGGAGGTAAAATTACTTGGCGAAGATCACTAAAAGAATTACCTGAACATTATTCTAATTGAATAATCATTTAACATTACTACTTTCAATTCCACATCCATAAGATATTTTACAAAGCTCACGTAATCAGCATATATTTACTCGATTTGGGGGTTACTACCTAGATTGAGAATTAAAGTAAACACTTCTCACAATGCAGGTGTAAGATGTGATGTTCTCCCAGATGAAACAAGGTTTCGAGATGCATGTGTTTTATTAAGGATTTGTTCCCAGGAGAGACTATTAAGGGGGTGAAGGAGGCAAGAAAAGGGGAAAAAGCCGAGTAAGTGTGTAATTTCAGGTGAAGTGTCAGACTCAGCCTAATCCTACAGGGAGCTCTGGAACATAAAGTACACCTCAAACGTGTTTTGGCCTTGAGGCAAAGAAACTGTTCTGTTCATTGGCTGACCACTCTGGCATTAGATGTAAAATTCCTGTGCACTTCCAATTCTCTGTACTGGAAAGGAGGCCATGGATTGTCTGCAGATTTGGAAGGGATGGGAGGATACAAAATTACTAGAGGTTTTTCTGAGTGAGTGTGAGCAAACAGACTCTAATGCCAAAGGTAATCCTCTGAGGGTTAAACGTGTGACTCCTCAGCATAAAGCATGCAGAAGCTTGGAAAGGGACGCACAAAGCTGGCGGGAAGGTATCTGAGGATATCTAGGCCAGGCACTAACAGTGTCTACTGCAGTGGTATTGTTGAAAAACCAGGGACTTTAGAGACAGAGAAGTATATATTCAAGTTCTGCCCTTGCCACTTACTGCATGACCTTGAACAAATTACTTAGATTTACAGACCTACAGTTTCTTTATCTTTA